GTTGGGTGCAGCAGTGAGGGGCCGCGGTGCTGCCCGGGCTGGGGCACCCTCGGGAGCGCGAGGCCCAGGCCTTGTCCGCGGGATGAGCTGAGCGCAGGCCCCAGCTCCGCGGCGCCCGGCCCATGGGGTGGGGTGAGCTGGAGGGCTCAGGTGGCGGCGAAAGCTGGGGCCGAGAGCAGGCAAGTGGTCCCCTTTCCTGCCTGCTGCATAGGTGTCTGGTGGTGGCCTCGCCCGAGTCTCTCAATCCTCTCTTTTTCTACTTTATTTTTTACAATATTGTTATTTTTCTCTCTGCCTTGGATTTGAGCGGAGATCGGGTTGTGACTGGTTGTAGATAACGGCTTTTGAAGCCCTGGCCGTTACGGGTAGATACAGCCCTGTGTAGCAGACACTTGCTTATTCTGGGAGGGTGGATGGATTTAACGACGATATGGTAGCGCATTCCACTGATTGAGACTCACCAGTCTACAATTATGACATGGGTAGCAAACCTAGGTGACCTGTTAAATTCGAAAGAATACTTCAGCATTTTTCCGTTGGAGAGACCTCATTAAACCTCATGCCTTCTTGAAGATGGACGTTATTTCTTTCTTGCTGACTGTTACCTTCTTTGTTATGAGTAGATAGCTGTATGGTCTCAAATACAGTATTTTGAAATATTGGTACTCATTTGAGCAAATCTGTCTTACAAAACTTGTCAAAGGTAAGTAGTTCTGTGCTCTACTCGTTTTGTACCTCATTATATCCTTAATAGCAATTTGTGAGTTGTATTTGTGAATCTGTTTTCCTATGTAGACATTAGTCCCTCATCCTTCTTGCAACAGATGTTTATTCTTTTATGTTTTTCCTATCTCAAACTGTTCTGTCCTTCCTTTAAGAAAGGCAGCACTATGTACATATTTGTCGGAGAGTTTATAGTATGCAAACAATATTGTGTCAAAATGCTTTGGAGTTCCCTCTTCCTGAATTCTTTATCAGCTAAATTGACTTCTCGACAGTTTGCTGCAATATTCTGCCATCATCTTTTAAATATGTTTTATAATTATATATTCTTATATTAAATTGTGGTTCTTAACATCTTCTTCAGTTGTGCTGTAGTATTTCTAATGGGAGGATCTGAAAATGTAGTTAAAAGACTTTTCATTCAAACACTCAGCATGATAAGAAAAATCTGGCATGTCTTTAATTGCTTTGCTATTAGCATTTTGGCAGTTCTCTCCCCAAGTGCTCTACAGTCTGGAAGGTAAGCTTTACACAACCTTCCTGCATTTGACTGTTTCAGAAGTGGATGGAACTACCAGATTATATTAAGAGCATCAATTTTGAGAAATAAATATTGAAAGACTAGGGGGAAAAAAACAAGCCTCTCTGAGCTGCAGAGAATGTTAGGTGCTAGTAACTAGTGTACGTTTAATTTAATACTCTGCTCTTAGAGCTGCTAAAACCTTTTAACTTAGATGTCAGTCACTATAAAGAGTCTTTCCTTGTTACCTGAAGTGTTGGTCCTCCATTGAATCCTTGCACCAGTAACTATTAGACTGTTTGGACCATTGGAATTGAAAATTTCTCATCAATTTTGTATTCCTCCTAGCAGCAGAGGTTAGCACAGGAAGTAATAATGTAGTGATCCTAAATTGTGCTTGAGATAGAGGTACTAGAAGCGCCTTTTTTTGCTGCAGCAAAGAGAGGCCTTGATCTGAGGAGGGGATGAGAAAGCTTCTGTTTTGTTCCCATCCCTAGCAGATGTCTTAATCTTCTGACTCACCTGAAAAAAAAAATACTGTGGAGAAGACTTTTGGTTGAGTAGGAATAGGGAAGGAATACAGTTTAACTTTTTACTGAGATGATTCCATGCAGAATATTTCACTTCTTGCATGTGCTAGCCACAGGTTTGGTGTCTAGGGAATTTCCATAGTTAGGTTGCTAATGCTAAAAATGAAAATAATGTAGCTTTGCCCAGATGTTAACCCAGCTTATAATTTAGAAAACTACTTGTATCTTTGTGCAGGAAAGTTGTAAAAACAAGCAGAAAACTTTATCTGTAGTGTGTTTGTGAATTTTACATTTATTCTTTATTTGCTGTATTTTCATTCCTGATATTGTATCATTTTGTTATTGAAAGTTTCATACAAGGTAAAAATACAGATATGCAGGTTTGGTTGGTACAGTTAATGAAGAAATGTCATTGATAAGTAAACCTCAGTTAAACTGAATATTGTTAGAGCTCAGTAGTGGGGAGGGGATACTGTAAAGATCTTTCAAAAGATTAAAACCTTAAAATAACCTTAGGTTTTTTTCTCTTATCATAGAGAATCTCTGAAAGTAAGAGCAAAGAAGTAGACTTCTTGATAGAATCATAGAATCGTTAAGGTTGGA